GTAGACATGTGGGGGCGTGTTGGAACGAGCCAGTTTAGGTAGGTGTGGTTGACTTTTATAAAGAATATCTCTTTGGATTTGAGACTTTAGTCTTTGCAACTTTACAGATCTTCTTTATGCACCAAGAGCTTGTAACACTCCAAAGAGAAAGGAAAAATTGAAATCGCATCATATGACCCCTTTAAGTTAAAATATTGAGTATGAAATAAAAAAAATTAAAATGTGTGCTCTTATCATTCTGTGGACAAAATCTCATGAACTTCGCCCAATCAGGAGCTGTATGAACATGTGCGCTCATCTGTTTTCAATGCAGCTAACCTTGCGTCGCTTCATGTCATCTTCCCAGTCATCAAACTTTGACAGATCCTTTACTGCAAAAAGACGGTCACAGCGACACTCTAAAGGGATGAAACTATGACTGTGATGCCGTGTCGCCATGACGATGCCATGTGCGACGAGACAAAACCAATAAAACCCATTCCAGACGAGGCATTTGTTGCATCCAGTTGGGACATAATTACTGATTATAATGACTTATACTGTCTTTTTACACGTTGCGTTGCATCACGCCGCATAAACATAAAACCATGTCTGCATTTGTGATCGGAGAAATGACAAACAACAGGCTCTAACAGTTACTCTACACTGCTCAACACTCGCGTTTGAATCGTCAGTGGCAAATTCCACTGCTCAAAACTCGCGTTTGAATCGTCAGTGGCAAATCCTTTACATATGAAAACGTACTTGCAGACTGTGTGTCAGAAGGACCAGACTGTCCTTGCAAAGTTGGAATTGCCCCACTTTATAGAAACAGACACCGGCATTGTAGGCTACTCTCACAGGAAACAGTCCTTGTCCTCCGCAAAATGCGCTGCACACATCTGAATATTTGGGCTGAAGTGTTCCGGAACAGTGTTGTAAATACAACGTAACCACTGATTTCTAGTTGTGTCCTCTTTTGGGAGACCAAACAAAGTAGCTTCGCTTTCACAACGAAACACACAGCGACTCCACGACATGGCAGTCGCGGCAACAGAGAGAATAAAAGTTACACCTTCTTTGTTTGCGTGAACATTTGGGCGGCGTTATGCAAAATCTTCCTACATAGTGACGTAGATATGTGGGGGCGTGTTAGAACGAGCCGTTTTAGGTAGGCGTGGTTGACTTTTAACTTTTTATAAAGAATATCTCTTTGGATTTGAGACTTTAGTCTTTGCAACTTTACAGATCTTCTTTATGCACCAAGAGCTTGTAACAATCCAAAGAGAAAGGAAAAATTGAAATCGCATCATGTGACCCCTTTAAGTGAACGTAAACAGTCGAGAAAGAAATCAGATGTGTATCATTATATTGGATGCACTGTCTCTTAAGGGGCCTCACAAATGTGTGGTACTCCACTGTATTACATCAAATTACTGCGAGAGCTATAGAGAGTAAGCTTTCGAGTGGCTCTCGCAAGACTTTGATGTCATACACTGATCGGTCTGCGCAGAGCCACTTCTAGTCGAATCAAGGGACTATTTTTTTCGAACACAACTTATGAAATGTAAGATGACAAATGTGGGGCGAGTGCAATAATTGCATTAAAATCTCTTTTTTCCATAACTAACTAATTAATTCGATAATTAATTAGATAAACTTTTAACCCTAACTGATGCAGTGTGTAACTTTTAATTTCTTAATCAACTATGTTCAACACGCACTCACAACATTATTCTAGGATAACAATTGGACCCAAGCTGCAAAACAGTAGGTGCGTTTACATGAAGCATTGTACTCTAATTATAGTCGGTTCAAAAGTTGAATCTGAATGAAAATGCTTTATTGCACAAAGCTTCATGTACTTGTTGACTCCAGCACATCCTAAAGACTTTCAATAGGGTAAAGTCTGCAGGTCTCTGTGGTGGCCAATCTTTCACAATTGAAGCCTGATAAATCTTGGTAATGTCATTCTGGAATATAGACACAAGTACATCTTCTGACATGGTTGTTTGAGAAATAAAAATGTACGCACTACATCAGTTAGAGTGAAAATAATCGTTGCCAAACTCACAACATGCCAGAAACATATTAATCATTGCAATAATGGTTCAGTCCTAAAATTTTAAGTATTTACTTATTTAAATCAGACGGCAACTTTTTTATTTATTTATTTATTTCGGCCAGGATTTTAATTAAAAGTATCATCAGAACAGAAATATAACCGTATTGAAATTTGTAAGCTCTTCAGAAAAATAAAGTAATGGTTTTCATCACACTTGATGATAGATTGATTGATTCTCTGTATAGCAAAGGAAATGAGTGATTGTGTGCCTAACAGGAGGCTTATTGGTTAATGTTAATAAGAGTTGCCACGATACAAGAATAGAACTGAAACTTTCCTTGAAGAGTATAAGAGAGGAAACTTCAACATCAGACTCACTGCTCTCAATCACGCTGATGCAGGAGAATACACCTGTCTCATCGCACACTCATCTGAACATAAGACTGTGGAGCTGATCATCAACGGTGTGTAGTAATGATTCATTGATATATTAATAAAAAATAAAGCTCGCTAGTAATGTTCTGTTCATTCTGAATGCTGATGTATAAACATTACAGACAGATCTGTTGCATTTGTCACATTGTAGCTATCTTTCTTTCTTTGCAGAGCCAACAACAGAAAATGGAACCAAATCAGCTGATCAAGAAACCCAAAAACCAGAAACAGATGTGGTGACATCGTTGACTTTGCTCTGGGTTTACATCATAGTAGCTGTATTAATATTAATAATGCTTATAGTCGGTTTCATCATTGGCTGTAGAAAAAAAATTCAAGCTGCTTTATTCTCTCCTGTCATGACTGAAGATAAAGAACAGCGACAGAAATAAATGTGTAAAAATTTCAAAAGTGATTTTAACTAAATTGTTACAGCTTTCATTGTTTCATTCTGGTGTCAGATACACTGTTTTGTGCTTTTATATTCTTGCTGTTTGCACTGTGTTGCTCTTATTGTATAAAAGAATGTGATCTTGAAACAGGAATTTTGTTTAAAATTGAAGGATGAATGATTCTGATAATGTGTTGGTGCCTTAACAATTCTGTTTCTGTTCCACAAGGTTTCTTTTCTTTGTTGTGTTTGCAAATATTAAATATATTTTGTATTGTTTATGTATTTTTATTTAATTAATCTGATTCATTAATTCCTGATCCATACAGTTTGCTGAAGATAAACATAAGCATGGTACTCAAGCGTTCCAATATATAGTTCTACATGCGTATTGTATTGTACAGATTGTATTTCCCTGTTGTTTTAACAGTCTCTCTCTCTCTCTCTCTCCATTCAAGTCATTTCAAATAAAGATTTTTAGCATGACTAGTATTGCCAAAGCTTCAGCCATTACAGGAACATACAATGAACAAACCTATGTAATACATAAAATAAAAATATGTAAACTTTTTATGAAGAAATAAGAAATTGAGATAATGTTTAAAAATCTTACATGCAGACATGTTAAGATGTATATTTCTGACTGTAGTTTCCACCGTCTGACTCTGTTTATAGCAGACTTGCAGGTACATCTCAAAAAATTAGAATATCATGAAAAAGGTCAATATTTTTTGTCACTCATTTCAGGAAGTGAAACCCATATATTATATAGATTCATTACACCCAGAGTGAAATGTTTCAAGCCTTTATTTCTTGAAATTTTGATGATTATGGCTTACAGATAATGAAAACCCAAAATTCAGTGTCTCAGAAAATTAGAATATTGTGAAAAAGTTCAATATTGGAAAGTCATGGTGTCACACCCTAATCAGCTAATTACCTCAAGACACCTGCAAAGGTTTCCTGAGCCTTTAAATGGTCTCTCAGTCTGGGTCAGTAGGCTACACAATCATGGGGAAGACTGCTGACTTGACAGAAGTCATTGACACTCTCCACAAGGAGGGTAAGTCACAAAATGTCATTGCTAAAGAAGCTGGTTGTTCACAGAGTGCTGTATCCAAGCATATTCATAGAAAGTTGAGTGGAAGGAAAAAGTGTGGTAGGAAAAGGTGCACCAGCAAGAATTTGGGGGAGTTTCACAAGGAATGGACTGAGGCTGACGTCAGCGCATCAAGAGCCACTACGCACAGACGAATCCTAGACAAATGTCTATGTAAATGTAAATGGGCTACAAATGTCGCATTCCTCATGTCAAGCGTCTTACCTGGGCTGTGGAGAAAAAGAACTGGACTGTTGCTCAGTGGTCCAAAGTCCTCTTTTCAGATCAAGGTCCCAGAGTCTGGAGGAAGAGTGGAGAGGCACATAAACCATGTTGCTTGAAGTCCAGTGTGAAGTTTCCACAGTCAGTGATGATTTGGGCTGCCATGTCATCTTCTAGTGTTGGTCCACTGTGTTTTCTGAAGTCCACAGTCAACGCAGCCATCTACCAGGAAATTTTAGAGCACTTCATGCTTCCTTCTGCCGACAAGCTTTTATGGAGATGCTGATTTCATTTTCCAGCATGACTTGGCACCTGCCCACACTGCCAAAGGTACCAAATGCTGGTTCAGTGACCATGGTGTTACTGTGCTTGATTGGCCAGCAAACTCGCCTGACCTGAACCCCATAGACAATCTATGGGGTATTGTCAAGAGGAAGATGAGAGACACAAGACCCAACAATGCAGATGACCTGAAGGCC